ATGGGTGAGACAGGTGAGATGGGTGAGACAGGTGAAATGGGTGAGACAGGTGGGCGGGTGACTTAAATCATCATTAGCAGACGTTCAGCTGGTTTTTCTCAGGTTTAGTCAACTTTGTGTCTCCTGAGCCTGAACATTCTGCTCTTCCTGCAGGTGGCGCTCTGGCCGAAGGCTTCCACGAGAGGCTGAGAGAGTTTCAGAGGTTTGAGAGAACATTCGAGGTAAGAAAAGACAAAAAACATGATGTTTTCCAGTTTCCAGACTCTATGAAGAACAAAAACTTCAACACCCAGTCTGCGATCCATTTTACTGGACCAGAGACATCACAAAGTACAAAAACAAATTCTGTGATTCTCGTTGCCACTGCAAAAAAAAAAAAAAAGAAAGAAGAAGAAATAAATGTATTTTAACCAAAACTTCTAAGTCACATAAAATACGGTCCTATTAATGACAACATTATTGTTAAAAATGTAAAAATCTACTTGTTTGTGTCAGTTTTAACATTTCTGCTGCTGATTTATACGTGATGAAAAGAATAGAAAACAACTTTAGTCACTACGCTAGCCTAAGTAAGATAATGTTAGTGGCTAACTTATTCTAAACAAATAGCATTAGTTGTTATTATAGCTTGAGCAATTAACATTAATCTCTATGTTAGCCTAAAGAAGATGTTAGCTGCTACGCATTAGCCACTGCATTAGCCATGGCATCTAAAACTATTTACTACGCTAACCTAAGCAACTACAACTAGCTATTACGTTAGCCTTAACAAGTAACGTTTGCGTCTACATTGGACTAAGCACCCTATTGTTAGCCCAAGCAAGGAAATATTATCCTTTACATTAGCCTAAATAAGATGATGATTGTTACAATGTTAGGCCAAACAAGATAGCATTACTTGCTACGTTAGCCTGAACAAGATAATGTTATATGCTACATTAGCCAGACAAATAGCATCAGTTGCTATGTTAGGCCAAAGAGGTAATGTTAGCCAGTAGAGCAGCTTAAACAAGAAACATTAGCCTGTTAGCTCCTGTTGGCTTTGTTCTAAGGCGATACCAGATGTTAGTTGTTCAGTTACAATCTGCTGTCGGTTCGGTGGATGTCAGTGGTGCTGATGTGACCCTGCAGGAGTTCATCTCTCAGTCGGCGGTGAAGACCAAGTTTGAGCAGCACACGGTCAGAGCCTGGCAGATCACTGAGGCCGTCAGAGCCGTGATGGACGCCATCAACATTGCCTCCGCCGACAGGAAGTGAGCAAAGAAACTGCCCTGTTTCCTACTTAAAGAGGCCACATTCTGCCTCTCCCCCTTCAGCGTGTATTTAGCTGCTCTTTTTAGCCTTAAGGTTTAGTTGAAGGTCCACAGCAAACACTCGCCTTGTCTGAAGTCCAGATCAAAGCACGTCAGCATACTTCAGCTGACCGCTACAGTCATATCACAAACCAAAGTGCAGAATTTGTCCCTCTGACAAAAGGCCGAGCTGGTGTTTGTGCCTGACCTCTGACCTCTGACAGGATCTGCTGCCTGGAGGACCGGGAGGAGCAGAGGGATCGGCTGGACTTTGTTCGAGGACAGATTAACCGTCTGAGCGACAGCGTCAAGGAGAAGATCAAGACTCTGACTGAGGAAGTCGCTGCCAAGGTAAAGGAGGAGATTTCCAGGGCGGAGCCGCCTGGCTCACCTGCTGCCTGGTCTTTAAATGGGTCCAACAGGAAACACAGCTCTGAGCAATGCTGGACGCTACAGTCCTGCTGCAGATGCTCTGAATGATGACACTGATTTCACTGGCTGACGTAAAGATGGTGTCAGTTCAAGTGAGCAGCTCTGGCTGAAGGTTCTTCAAGTTTCTGCTGAAGTTCTGACAATAAAATGACTTTAAAACCCGGAAGGATTGAGGTCAACAATAAGTGCACTATGTTAGCAGCTACATTAGCATTACAAGATAATGGTAGACGCTGCGTTAGCCCAAGCAAATGATGTTAGTCTTAAGAAGCAACACTGTTTGGTAAGTTTGTCTAAGCTAATAAAGTTAGCCTAACCAAGAAATGTTAGCTACTACATGATAACATTACATGCTACATTATCCTAAATGAGATAGCATTAGCCACTATGTTAGCCCACACAAATAACATGAGTTACTACATTAGCCTACACAAGTTGTGTCCACCACAATGCTAACCTAAAGAAGATAATGTTAGATGCTAGATTTGTCTAAAGATGTTATGTTAGCCACTATGCTAACCCAAACAAGATAATGTTAGTTTGTACAGTAGCCTAAAAAGCAACGTTAGCCACTACGTTATCCTTAACAAATAACCGTAGCTTCTACATTGGCCAAAGTGTCGGCCTGTGTTTCTGTCAGAAGACACTCTGGTGTTGATCCAGGTGTGCTAAACAGCAGGTTTCTGTCGTCAGGTTGCGGTGGCGCTCTCAGATCAGATCCGGTCTCTTCCAGTTCTGGTGGAGGAGTTCAGAGCCGACTTCAACCCAACTCAAGAAAATCTGGAGCTCTACAAAACTGTGAGTCCGGCAGCAAAACTAGAGAATAACCGCTGAGATCCGACCAGGTGCTTCTGTGCAGGTACCTGAACACACCTGAAATGAATGATTTAATGTAAGATTTTACAGCAGGTGACAGGTTTTATTGCTGCTGTTCATCAAACCAACTGTGGTTTTCAGATGAAGTTTGGTGCATGAACACGTCTAATTATTTTGTCAGAGCAACAGCCAGCCGCTTCAGCAGCTGGATGTTTGTGCGTTCTCCGTCAGACCGACATGTCGGTGTTCCAACTCTGGCAGCAGCCTGCACTGAACCATCCGTCTGGCCTGAGTTTTCCTTTCTGTGTCCAGAAGCTGCAGCAGCACGTGGAGGAGCGTCTGGTCGGCTGTCTGGCTCATCGCTGTTCGGTCGGAGCCCTCGGCGATGTCAGAGACGCCCAGAGACACATGATCGGTAAGAGCTCGGCCATCGTCTTCCCTGAGCGGCTCGGGTCGGCCGATGGCTGCAGATGTTCTCTGGTTGTTCCCTGCAGACAGCGTCCGTCCTCTGCTGTCCACCTCCGTCCAGGAGCAGCTCTCCTCTCCGTCCTCCTCCTTCCAGCTGACCTATGACCTCGGCCTGGCCGCTCTCTGTGCAGACTTCAGGGAGAACATCGACTTCCAGTTTTCTCTTGGTTGGACGGCCCTCGTCACCCGTTTCATTGGAGTCGCCAACGCCAAGCGAGCGTTGAGCGGCGCAGATGGCCGACTGCAGGTGACTCCGCTTCATAAATCCTCCATGCTGTGGTTTGTCCTTCAGTCTGTTAGAAAGCTGCTGTTTGGAGCATTTAGAAGGTCTTTCTGAGTCACTCTGAACAGTTCAGATTCATTTTGCACAATTTGGCCAATGATGCAGGACAGGAATGCTGATTGTTAGCATCGTTTAGCATTGGTTACCATGGTGACCCAGCAGGCTAAAACAGCCCCAACCCTCCTGCTGACCCTCAGGACTAAGACCGGTGCTTCAGCCGTGGAGAAACCAACCGTCTCTGTGGTGTCTGGAGCTCAAACACTCAAAGTCTCATTCTGAGGACATCAGACTGGAAACAAACTGGAAGCTTTCAGTCATTCTGGGCGAGTTTTTGTGAGAGGTGGAGCCTGCAGGAGTTAGTTTGGCCCACAGAGACACAACAAGCACCCCTACAACCACGCTACTGCACAGTCGTAACCATGGAAACTCTTTTCTCTCAGCAGGAACGCTCCACCTTTAAGGATGAGATGGTGGTTTCCATAGCAACCCGTCTGGTCTCCGTCACCTCCCGGGCGTCCATGACGGTGCTGGTGATTGGTGGAGTGGTACGTCCTGCAGCGCTGCCAATCACTTTATTGATCTACTGATTGGTTTTGACTTCATCTGATTCACTGGTGGAGAAACATTTGAGTTGTTTCTAGAACAGGATGTTCAGATTCATGAGGCAGGAAACAGAGAAGCACGACGTCTGTTCTTTACCTTCTAAATACAACTAAAGCAGTGAACTCTGTGAGCAGCTTTCCGTCTCCTGTGCTGCGTGTCTCAGGTGTGTCGCTGTTTCAGGTGTGGCGTTCGGTGGGCTGGCGTTTCATCGCGCTCTCCCTCTCTCTGTACGGTGTCCTCTACCTGTACGAGAGACTCACCTGGACCGACGCCAGCAGGGAGCGCGCTCTGAAGCGGCAGTTTGTGGAGCACGCCACCCGCCGCCTCAGAACCGTCGTCCCCGTCACGAGCTCCGCCTGCAGCCAGCAGGTGTACAAGTAAGGCTCCGCCCCCACCTGAATAATCTGCTCTATTTGTTTGTTTCTGTACTTGTTTGTGTTTGTTGGGTCTGTGTCCATTTGTTTTGTTTGTGTTTATTTATCTGTTTGTTTGTTTGTCAGGGAGCTGTCGGCGACCTTCAGCCGTCTGACTCAGAGAGTGGACCTGAGCGAAGCCGAGTTGGAGGGAACCATCCGTCAGCTGAGCTTCAGGATCCAGAGACTGGAGAACGTCCAGAGAAGGTCCAAGGCCTTCAGGTCAGGGGCTGCTGGGTTTATACTTCCTCACCTCCCAGCTGGGTGGAGTTAACCTTAAGCACCTCCCAGCCAGGGGGAGTTAGCCTAATGCACCTCCCAACCAAGTGGAGTTAATCTAGCGCACCTCCCAGTCGGGTGGAGTTTACGCCCTTAAATAAAATTGTAATGACTGTTCACCTCCTCCTGTTCTGTATCTTCTTTCTACTATTTGTATAATTTTCTGTTCTCTGGAAGCCTACATTGCTCACCTCCTCCACCTCCTCACCTCCTCACCTCCTCACCTCCTCCACCTCCTCCACCTCCTCCACCTCCTCACCTCCTCACCTCCTCCACCTCCTCCACCTCCTCACCTCCTCCACCTCTTCTGTCTCCTCCACCTCTTCAACTGATGTTTTACTGCTTTCCTGTAAAGTTCTCTCAGTTTTATTAATTATTAATTAATAATAATTAATTAATAATTAATTTGATTAAACTACTGTCAGATGCTTTTTCTTTATTTTGTCCATTTTCACTCTGAACTGCAGCTCACTTGTATAAAAGATGCTGCATCAATAAATTTGAAAGAGATAACTTTTGAAGGAAATAACGGATGAAATGATTGATAAAGTGACGTCAGTATCAGAAGATGAGACGCTGCTTTCAGTTTCTGCTCTCGGCCTCTTTAAACTGTGGATGAATGTGTGTTTCAGGAACCGAGCGACGGAGCTGGAGACTCAGCTGGAGGCCTTTTCTGTTCAGTACCTGCAGGGGAACTGAGGAAGACCAAGAGCTGCTGAGAGTCTGACTGAAATCTGATCAAACCGTTCGATCGGGATGGAAATCAGTCCAACTGTTTCTCCTCCAGTTTGATCTGCAGATGTAGAATCATTCAGTTCAGATAGAAAACTGTCCGTTAGTTCTAAACTGGTTTCTGTTTGCTGTGAAACTGGTCTGAAACCAGTCTGAAACCAGTCTGAAACCAGTCCAAAGTCAAGTCGAAAACCAGTCTGGAACCAGTCCGGAACCAGTCAGTAGTTCACAGAGTGGGGACGCGTTTGGAAACAGGCGACCAGGAGACAAACGAGATACATCGTCAAGAAAAAACGTCCAGAAACCTCGACGAGGCGTAGCTCGCTCTTGGCTTCACTGTGAATGTGGTGGGAGGTGAGGAGGAGCCCCTGAGTGTTTTTAATGTCGGTACAGATCCACTACATGACTCGAGACACGCAGCATCAAGTCTGTAACCCGTTTTGAACAGAGTTCTGCACTACGAAGCCCGATCAGTGGGTCATCAGGTATGTTGAGCCTAAAGCCAGAGTCTTCAGTGTCACAAAGGTGTCTCTCTTTCTACCTGCTAGGTCTCCACGGTAACTGATGCTGTGGAGCTAGGTTTCCACGATAACTGATGCTGTGGAGCTAGGTCTCCATGGTAACTGATGCTGTGGAGC